TATCAATTTTTTGTTTTATATGCACTATATGCATTCTGTACGCCCGTGGGATATACGTTGCATATTTCCCCCCCCCCGCTCGACAACTTTTTCGCCGACTATATACTCATCGCTCGTCGTCGGCGAAAAAGCCGTGGAGGTGGAGGGGGGTCGTGCCTGGACCCCATTCGAAGGGGGGTCGTACTCACACCGACATTTCGCACATCCCCATGCTGTACTCTGCTTGCATATCCATAGGACTTCGGGCTCATTATGACCAGTCTCACTTAGGCGTGATTTCAGGCTAACCGCACGTCCACAGGCATTCTTCTAAGCTCAATGGTCTTCGTCACAATTCCAAGTGTTTGTGTAGGCTTTGTTGAAATGCTCGGTTACTTCATTTTTTAAGACAGTTGGTCCATTCTACATAGTTGGCTTGCTTTGCGCTGGTAAGCTGTTATCCCTAGAAGTACAATTTTCACGAGGAATTCTACACTTTGCTTTCAGGTGTTTGCAACAGTTTAGTATACGTCTTTCTCAATCGTGATATGAGAGATTCGACAGAAAATTGCGTTTTCCATATAGCACCCTCAGCAATGAGGGCTTCGTCAGTATCCTCAAGGATATTCTGTACAGCCAAATTTCGAGCCAAACAGAACCGTTGATTCGATCTTTAATGCATACGTCGCAACAAGGTGGTTATATACTGTCGAATAGCTGTTAGTCCAACATTAGGGCAATTTCGCTCAGATACGCTTGCTTATTCTGCTTTCCAATCTTACCTATTGTATTGCTCGCTGAAGGTAACTTATAGACAAATGACATCATAACTCGATGAGGCGTGTAGGATCAATACGTTCAGTGCGAATACTGTACCTTGAGCAGGTGCTGCAAACGCTTTTTCCGCTGTACCGCCCAACCGGTAGCATGCCGACCCTGACGCTCACCGCAACTGACACTATCACCACTGTACCAGTGGCGATACCCAACATGAGGGGTGAAATAGCCCACCGTGCTTTTGAGGATATCTGATATACAGTAGAGGCAAAAACTTGGATGTTTGCTGAAACCAAGTACGCCTGAAAAGGCTATTCTAAAAAATAAAGTTGGTTGATTAAATTCGTTACCGGGACAGAATTCTTGAATATTATTGCGATGCGGCATGCCGCTGCCACTCTGATATTGGACCGGTTTTCAAAGTTTCTAATGCTTTGCAATCCATCGGAAGAAGATCACACCTGTCTGAGTGTTCGTTCGTTTTTTTTCATTTCTTTTTTTACAACTCTCGAGAAACCTATGTCCCAAAGCATTAGAAAGTTTGAAAACCTGTGCAATACCGGTTTTCAGAATTTACCGAAAACCGGTCCAGAGTGGCAGCGGCAAACCGTATCCAGATAATATCTAGAACTCTGTCCCGGAAACGAATTTAATCAACCAACTTTATTTTTTAGAATAGCCTTTTCAGGCGTACTTGGTTTCAGCAAACAAAGTTTTCATGTGCAATTTAAGAATTGTATGTAAAACTATTAAAAAGCGCGCGACTTGGGCTTGTTCCAAGTTTTTTTGCCGCGACTGTACTTCATCATATACTCACGACACCTTCGATTATGCCTGCTTTATAATCTTAGGGGCTGCTTAGCTGTTCGTACTCCTAAGGTTATCAAGTGACCTAGCACATTATCATTCAGTTTTAGAGATACCACTATTATTGATATGTAAAAGCTGTGAATCCATAACAGTGCGTAGAGGGCGAGATGAGAGGTAGCTCTTTACCTAATGGAATCAGGTGCACAGCAAAAGCACATCACGAAGAGACGAAGAGATTCATCAAGGTCACCATAGAAAGGAGATAGAAATGCAGATACACTTGTAGTGCGCCATTGAAAGTACCTGAAAAACCAGTCTAGTTCCGAAGCAGTTCTGATGGCATTGGCGATCGCTAGTGCTAGTGGTAAAATGGCAGAAGACGTGCACGTGTTTTCCAGCATCATGCCTGACTGCTTCCTGGTAGCATTCGTTTGTGGCGTCTGCTTGCAGCGTATCTTTCGTAATGAGCGACACTTCAATGATATCTGCATATTGAAAATTGGTGTTGTCCTTCTCTCCATTTACTCAGTGGACCAAACTTGTCATAGTACTAAGAAGAGAGGTCCCAACAAGTCTGTCTTTTGCTTTCGCTCCGTTGATCTTGCTCGTTCTGAAATCCCCGTAACCACATATAGTGGGGTTAGAGAAACCTGGTGGGAGGATCATTACTGAAGTACCGTAACGCATGACCTGGCTCAGCATTATCTTCTTGTTCTCCTTCTAGCGTTCTTGTCCAACTGTTGTCGGGTACGCTTCTTTGACCAACGCTTTCCAACGGTCCCTGTAAATAGAATCGGCTGCGGACAGGCCAGCAGCAGTCATGTCCATATTCAGGTTGTCTTTCCACCGCATTCTAGGTCGGCCTTTTGGACGTTTACCGGCGAAGACGATCTTATCAGCGGACTTCGATACAGCAGATCTTCAGGAGGTCTTCGTTGGACGACGATGTTATTGCGGTGGTGCATATATATTCCGTCTTGCTTATATTAAGCCTGAGTCCATGGCTGGCCAGCTCTCTCTTCCAGCGGTTGACGCGCCGTTCTAATTTCCCTTTGGATCTGTCCATCAGCAGTACATCGTCAGCATATCCCAGCGTCAAAGGCGGCTCTTTCCTGATGTTCCTCGTAGCGTAGTCCATACAGAGAATGAACAACAGTGGCGAAAGAGCCGATCCCTGGTGAACACCAGCAGCAACCCGGAACTGTGGAGTGTCTCCAACAGGCGTCCTGATGGAGGTTGTAGATTTTCGTATCTATCGTCCGGATGGAGTCCAGAGCAATGACGTTTCCGTATCTCGGATCTACGCTTGCCGCAGACGGAGATGCCAAGGCCGACACCACTGCAAGAATCAACGCTGCATGGAGCAAATGGAGATCTGTTACTGGCGTTCTCGAATACCAATACGCCTGAAGTCAAAGATCTACACTTCAGTCGTGAAGGCAGTCGCCATCTATATGCCGAGACTAAACAGATGACGGCAGAGAAACAAGAGCCTACGGTGTTATGGAGATGAGAATGTTACGATGGAGTCTGGGACACACGCGACTCGACCGAATCCGCAACGAAACAGTCCGAGACAGATGAAGGTCCAGCCGATTGCCAACTCCCTTGTCGTTCAGTGTGTCTTGCCCTATTGTGAAATCGAGTGTAACTATAGACGATTACAGAATATGCTCAGGACATCCAACTAGCTGATGGGACGTTTATCAGAGCGCGACGACTCCCTGTTCATGTTGGTTCAATTAGCTCTGTTTGGAGATAACTGGTTGTCTCATCATCTTATCGGAACTATGAAGGCTTTTTAGCGTTACTCCAACTTCTTAAGGGTTGCTCCAACTACTTCAGAGTCGAATGTTGTTCGGAGCGTTCTCTTTCTTGTGGTGGTGGACAATGTTGAGCTTAGACTGGGCGAACGTGGTGAATTTTTCGTCCCTGCTGCTTTGAGGGACTACTTCAGCTTCGTTGAACATCAGTACCGATGCTCCTCGTAACATATGCTGAGTGAGAGGTGGTCCGTTGAGCTCTGTTTGTGTATTCCCCTGAGATGGGGACTGCTTGAAGCAGCTGCTGCTCATAGAAATGCTGGTCCTTGATGGCGCTTGGATGAGACGCCCTCGCCGACTTAGTAGCTTTGCATCCTGTAGTCGGTCTCTAACGGAGGTGCAAAGTGAATGGTGGCAGTTCCGTTGCACTTTGGACATTTGCTGACAGCGAATTGCAGTCTAGAAGTGAGCTCCCTGGTGACACCTCCAGACACCATCAGCAATTCCTTTTGCCACCTGCCTTCCACCCGGCTTTCCTCTGGCGAGCTAAATTTCTGGCATGTGTGGAAAGGCGTGTTATTCCACAAAAGAACGCTAGTTCGGTCCAGTAGTTGAAGTGGGCTTTACAGCTTAATGGACTTCGGTGGTTGTCGGGTGCTGAGGTTGCCTTATTCGCGCCGCTCAGAACGAAATAGTGTCTTAGCGTTGAATTTGGCGGTCTCTGTCAATCTTTCACCTATGCACTCAATAATCTCATAGAATAACGATCCTCCCTCGTTTTTTTGTGATCACTGCAGATGAATTCTGTGAATTAGGACAGGATCAAACGAGAGAAAATCGCAGCAAAGCTTTCTGGATTCGTTATGCGGAAGTCACTGAAACACCTACAATTTTCCCCCTGAATTTTTCGGATAGGGTTTTCAATGGAGAATTTCAAAAGATGAGGACTTTACCTTTGTCCTTTATTTCCGCGGAGAACGAGCCGAGAAAAGTAAATTTTTTCCTA